AAAAATTAAAAAGAAAAAATATGAATGAAACCCTAACCCCTCATGTCCATCCATCCAACTTAGCAGCCCAATCACCCCTCCCCACGCCCGCTAACCCACCCAGCCCGCATGAGCCACCTGCATGCTGCCCATCCATAACATGTGTCTCTCCATACAACACCCACACCTTACTTAGTTTATGTCAATTTTAGTTTATAAGTTTATGTCACGGTTAGACAGTCGGAAATACCATATCAGTTTATAATTCACTCTATTAATATATATTTAAATAAAAATAATTTAGAGATATTAAAAGACATACATTGAAATGAAGAATAAAAAGTCTCTCACTCTAAAATGGATTTATTTTTTTTTCTTCACTTTTTTCATCAAATCATAAGCTTAGAGTCAAATTACCTTTTTACCCTTCAAACCATTATTTTTAACCGCTAAAATTGGTGGTTGGCGAGGTGTTTGTGTAATATTGTGTATCTTTGGATCCACTGACAATTTTGGATACTTCAGGGGAGATAAATAGTTTAAACCATGAGAAGTTTCAGCATGTCTGGTATTGTCCATCATTATTTGGAAATTAAAGAATAATTATTGAAAATAATATATAATTAATTAAGAGATAATATTGGTGGCTCCTCTTAATTAACATTTAACATATGATTTTCTCGTAATTGACATCTGTGACTACTTGTATATGTTATAACAGACAGAAAAATAAGGAAAATAATAAATAAATAAAAGAAGAAACACGATTTCTCGTCTCTTTTATCAAGCAGGAAGATTCGAAAACTTGGTTTGTTTCATCTGTGAAAACATCAAATTGATTAAGATCTGCATTTTTAAATGTATTTTTGTTTTGATAAATATAACCTTAATAACCTAATAATTTCTATATATACTCATTCTTTATTTTATATATTTGTTTTTAATTTTTAACATTCAATTCTTACATAAACCCTAAATCTAAATTTTCTAAATTATTGAATCATTTTTATTTTATTTTGAATAAATCTTTATTTGATGAAAATATATAATTAAAGCCATGGAGAAAGTTTTCACATAATATGATGAATCTAATTTTGAAAAAGAAAATGTAAGTTTCAAATTTGAAATTGAGAGAAAGGGGTATAAACAAAAAATCTTATTAAGAAATTAGTAAAAAAGTAGTGTGAACAAAAACCCTAATTAAGTTTGAAATTGGAGGGAAAAAAGGTGCAAATAAAAACACTAATTGGACCTAATTAAGCACAGCTATTTTTGGTATTAAATAGGGTTTAAAGAGAATTTTTGAAAATATAATGTGTATTTAGGGGTGGTAGATAGTGATCAATTTGATGAGGCTAATTTTTTAAAAAAAAAAAAAAAATTAGATTGGGCTTTTAAATATTTTCTAAATATTGGGCTTCATCTTCACTTTGACCTGTCAAAGAGTGCTGTTATTTAAGCCCATTAATTCTCTTTGTAAGCCATATTTTAAATAAAATTTATCTAAAACATTAAAATTTTCTATAATATATTCTCAAATAGCCCTTATACTGATTCTCTACTAGAGGTGGAACAAATAGGCCGGGTTAGGCGGGTCAACCCTAACCCGGCCAATAATAAAGAGGGTTTAAACCGGCCCGCCTTGATAGCGGGCCGGGTTGAACGCAACCCGCCAGCAACCCGCGAGCCGTCGGGTTGCCATTTTGTTCTCTCTGCAGGAGGCCCGCCAACCCGGCGGGTTGCATGCGGGTTGGCTGTTGCCAACGGCCAACCCGTTGGGTTGACCCACGGGTTGGCCGAAAAATAANATTTTTCTCAATTGCTTTTACTTTGAATAGGACTTGGTATTTAAATCTTATTTTATATATGGAATATAAAGCTAATTAAAACACTTATTTGCAATTGAATTATTAATTTAAAGAAATTCTCAGAATAAATTAAATTAAAAACAAATGGAAAAACAACATTAATTTATTTATGTCATTACAAGAGCATAATAATCAATACATGCATGCCGAAAAAAAAAAAAAAAAAAAAAAAATAAAAAAAAAAAGAAAAATAAAATAAAAAAAAATCAATGACCATCCCCTCTATCTTTTCATGCCATTTTCCATAACTGAGGCCATTGTCACTCCCCGACTTTGCCCCTCCAAATTGCCATACCATCCTATACATTTTTGAAGAATAAGAACAAATAGCCATCCATCAATATTTCTTGGTCGTATATAAGAAAAATAAAATACCAAATACCCTTATGAATAAAATTTAATTTAGAGATTAATAGTAAATTAATTATATAATTACCAAGAGACATGTCAAATCCACGGCTTTTGAGTTCACGATACTCTTCTTGCAATGCATAGCAATCGTAGAAACAATGAACCAAACAATCGTTACAAGGGCTTTCTCTTATCATGTATTTCTCCCTCAATACTTGAGCAAAAACAGCTAGCGTAGATGTATCCAGTGTTCTGAAAATCAGACCGGATCAATCGGTCAGACGTGGAACTGACATCCTATTCAGTCCAATTCAGATTGTGGGGGGTTTTTGCTATATTTCAAACCTGTAAGGACTAATTGAATTTTAGGGGTGCTTTTATAAGACTTCAAAACTTTAGGAACTAAGAAATTTTTAAGGCTGTTTTTGCAATTTTTCAAATATTTAGGGACTATTGTAATTTTATATGTGTGTTTGTTGATGATCTGGTCAGACTGACCAGTTGGACTGGTCAACCCGGGAACTAGGCCCTTGATAGGGTCAAAGTCCGGTCTGGCTTTCATAACATTTGATGCATCCACGAAAACATAACAAGTGAACTACATGCACAAAAAATTGCCCCCGCTCTACAACAAGCTGCAAAATCAAACTAACAATTCAATCTCCAACTTTCTATAATTATATCGTTTTCTTGTATGACTTAACTCAATTCAATTTCCTTTTTCAACAATCTCCGCAATTCTTCCAAAGGCTGTGCATGGACAACAACACGTCAAGCAACCTGATAACATGTGCTATTGTTTCGAAGGTGAGAGTAGAAATTGTTGGAAAAATAGTTTATAATCTTGGTAAAAAAAGAATTAGGCCTGGGTTAGGAGAAAAGGAATGTTCTAGTCTGTGGCGGAGCCAACGTTGGCCTAGGGTGGGCCAATACCATCCCTGAAAATAAAATAAAAACCATAAGTTTTATAAACTTATAATTACACCCTAAACAGTGTATATGTTTTATAAATTGCCCAATCCANAGACTGACCAGTTGGACTGGTCAACCCGGGAACTAGGCCCTTGATAGGGTCAAAGTCCGGTCTGGCTTTCATAACATTTGATGCATCCACGAAAACATAACAAGTGAACTACATGCACAAAAAATTGCCCCCGCTCTACAACAAGCTGCAAAATCAAACTAACAATTCAATCTCCAACTTTCTATAATTATATCGTTTTCTTGTATGACTTAACTCAATTCAATTTCCTTTTTCAACAATCTCCGCAATTCTTCCAAAGGCTGTGCATGGACAACAACACGTCAAGCAACCTGATAACATGTGCTATTGTTTCGAAGGTGAGAGTAGAAATTGTTGGAAAAATAGTTTATAATCTTGGTAAAAAAAGAATTAGGCCTGGGTTAGGAGAAAAGGAATGTTCTAGTCTGAGGCGGAGCCAACGTTGGCCTAGGGTGGGCCAATACCATCCCTGAAAATAAAATAAAAACCATAAGTTTTATAAACTTATAATTACACCCTAAACAGTGTATATGTTTTATAAATTGCCCAATCCAATAGTAATTTCTTAAAACAAAATAAATAAGGCCTATGTTATAGAAATTTAATTCAACTCATTACATGTAAAAAAGCTGTAAAGTATTAAATAATTAATCATTTTTTTTTTTTTTTTTAACGAGAAATGAAAGTTACAGGAACTGCAGTCCATGCAGCAGTCATACAACCAGATGCGGAGGCAGTATTCATGGCCTCAAATTGAAAAAGAAAAAAATATTAATATGTATAATTTCTGGATTTTGGTTTATCCTGATAAAACTATTAATGAAAAAAAATATTAATGTGCAATTAGTTTTTATTTTGACTCACCCTAATCAAAATTTCTGGATTTGTCCCTGCATATAACCTGGCATACCAAGGGCTTTCATGTTCATGAAGGGCATGTACTTTGGGTTCTTCATAATAACCAGGTACCCCTTGAGGCCTTGAAGATCAGGCGCCCAATTTTTGTACGATGAATGCATGGGGATGATTATTGGACGTTGATCGTTGGATTTAAAGAAAGGGGTAGAGGTTGAAGAAGGAAAAATAATTCTCAAACAAAATTGACAAAAAACTGTTCGTTCATCAAGCGGCAATGGTGGTTAAATAATATATAGTGGATGATTTCAAAGTAAAGCTGTAATTAATGGCCGAGTCAATATTATCCTATCGCAATTAATGCACGTAAAGATTCAGTAAACTATGTAATTTACGCGGCAAATTTGAAGTTACTGTTCAAAATCAAACATATATATTTAGTACTATATTTTGACTATATTTTTTTCATTATTTGTTCAGTAGGGTTTTGGTTATTAATACTTAACATATTTATTGTAATTGACTCTACTAATTGTTTGGTGAGAAAATGTTAGAGATAAGAAAATTCTGGAAATTGTTCATATATGCAATGGATTTTTTTTTTTTTTCCCCTCTATTGTTTTTACTTTGAATCGGAATTGGTAATTAAACCGTCATATGTATTATTTGGGATGTAAAACTAAAACACTTATTTGTAATTGAATTATTACGTTTAACTTTAAAGAAATCCTCGATATAATTTTATAAAAGAAGTATGCGCATGATCATCATTTTGTATTCAAACATGCATGGGAATACATTTATTCAAGTCTTATTACAAGAGCATAATATTAATCAATACGTCTCCGTGGTGCATGTGATTATATAAATTAAGTTTAAGAAATCCCTACTTAAATAGTAATTAAGCAAGCGATTTCATCTTGTATATGAAGATTATAGAATTTCTATCTTTTCATCCTATCTTCCATAACTGGGGCTGATGGAGCCATTACCACTCCCCTATTTTGCCTCTCCAAATTGCCATGCCATCCTATACATTTTTTAAGATCAAACAAGAATCAAATTAAGGCCATCACCATTTCATTTCTCAGTCTTAAGAAAAACAATGGAATTTAATGTAGAGAATTATAAGTTGATTAATTACCAAGAGACATGTCGAATCCACGGCTTTTTAGCTCGCGATACTCTTGAACCAAGGCACAGCCCTCGCAGCAAAAATGAACCAAACAATCGTTACAAGGGCTTTCGCTTAACATGTATTGCTGCCTCATTTTGGAGCGATAGCAGCAAGAGTAGAAGCATCCGCAGCCAGTCAGCGCTGAAATTAAGAAATAAAGTGCGCCACTCACGCCACAAGCTGCAAATTAATGAGACTAATTTCAATCTCATCTTCTTTAATTACCTTTAATTATAAAGTTTTCTTGTATAACTTCACTTACATGAAGATCCTTTATCAACAATCTCCGCAATTCTTCCAAAAACAATGCATGGACACCAAAATGTCAAGCAACCTGTTAACAGTAACAACAAAAACAGATTGAAAATTTTCCAGAAAATTGTTGTTTTGGAACGAGGTCTACTCTGACAACTGACTTGCGTCAGAATACAGCGTCTCTCCCGATGAATCCATCGTCGCAATCCTTTAATTGTCTTATTGGTCAGTGTTGGTCATTGTTTGAAGTTAATTTGAATTTAATTCTATTTTTAAGCCTACAACGGCGTCAAATTGTAACCTGTATCCTACATTGGTGTGCAATGTGTTGCTTCATCAGTTACTTCAATTTATAAATTTAATAATTGGATGAAGAGAATGAAACTTACAGGTTGAGCAATCGGAGCAGCAGTCACACAACCCGGAAGACCAAGGGCTTCTGATGTGTAATGATGATGATGATGAAGTGCAGGTGTGGATTTCATCATAATAATGGTGTGTGAAACAGCTGGCGGAATGTGATGATGATGATGGTGTCAAACGTCTGATTTGTTTGGTTGTGAAACCAGGCGCAATGTGAGTGATCAAACGTCTGATTAGGGTTTGATGCCTACATGGTGAAGATGATCAAAAGATTAGAAAGGAAAAGAAAATGATTTCTGAAACAAAATTGATTAAAATGTGATTAATATATGTATTAATTTGTAAAAATAATAGTTCGATGATTTAAGTAACGCTGTAATGACTTAGTCAAGATTAGTGAGTTGCTGCAAGCCGGCTCAATGATAAACAAGTTAAACTTATAAATATGCGGCAATTTTGAAAGTTAATTGTTCAGATTTAAAAATCTAATATAGTTTTTATTTTGCTATTTGTTTTCATTACCAGTTGAGTCTGATTTAATATCAAATTGGTTCAAACTTTGAATTTGGTGTTTGATGTTTAATTGTAACGTATTGTGAATGAATCTATTGTTTGTTTGGTGGAAAAAAGTTAAAAATCGTAAAAAAGTGAGATAAGAGATATCTGGAAATTGTCAAATTAGAGGTTGGGCACAAATGAATCTGGAATCTTTGATTTAATTTTAGTGAAGTCTTTAACTGATACCTTTATTATCAATATTAAAATTGTAAAAGTGGAATTTTAAATAAATTCATCTTCAGTGTTTTAAAATATAAATCCGATATAAAACATAGTGATCCAACACATCATACTGAATTTAATGAAAAAAAAATCACCTTTTGTAAATTATATGACATTATGATTACTAAATTGCATAACTATGATTTTTTTTTTTTTTTATGTGTTAAAGTTGAAATGAAAAAAAAAAATTAAAATATAATTAGCAATGGGAAAATTACATGAGAGTATATGAGAACTCTGGGTTTATCCTTTAACCCCCCTGAAGTATCCAAAATTAAAGTAGCCCAGGTATACCATAATACACACACCTCTTGCCGTCAATTTTGGCTGTTTAAGTAACCAAAAGCCACTTTTGACCACTAAATGACTAAAATACCCCTAAATGCCAAAAAATAATTTATTAATCAATGTGTGTTCGATAGTTGGAGGCTAAAAACAGTCAACTTTGAATAATTATAAAATTTAGGAAATTTTAATATTTTATAAAATATTAAAAGAAAAAAATATGAATGAAACCCTAACCCCGCACGTCATCACCATCCCAACTTAGCAGCCCCAATCACCCTCCCTCACGCCGCTAACCACAGCCAGCATGAGCACCTGCCGCATGCCCATCCATAACATGTGTCTCCATACAACCACCACACCTACTTACGTTTATGTCAATTTTAGTTATAAGTTTATGTCACGGTTTAGACAGTCGGAAATACATATCAGTTTATAAGTTTCACTTATAATATATATTTTAAATAAAAATAATTTAGAAGTATTAAAAGACATTACATTGAAATTGAAGAATAATAAAGTCTCTTCACTCTAAAATGGATTTTTTTTTTTCTTCACTTTTTCATCAAATCATAAGTTAGAGTGAAATTACCTTTTCCCTTCAAACCATTATTTTAACCGCTAAAATTGGTGGTTGGCGAGGTGTTGTGTAATATTGTGTATCTTTGGATCCACTGACAATTTTGGATACTTCAGGGGAGATAAATAGTTTAAACCATGAGAAGTTTCAGCATGTCTGGTTTGTCCATCATTTTGGAAATTAAAGAATAATTAGTGAAAATAATAATTAATTAAGAGATAATATGGTGGCTCCTCTTAATTAACATTTACATATGATTTTCTCGGAATTGACATCTGTGACTACTTGTATATGTTATAACAGACAGAAAAATAGGAAAATAATAAATAAATAAAAGAAGAAACATGATTTCGTCGCTTTTATCAAGCAGGAAGATTCGAAAACTTGGTTTGTTTCATCTGTGAAAACACCAAATTGATTAAGATCTGCATTTAAATGTATTTTGTTTTGATAATATAACCTTAATACCTAATAATTTCTATATATACTCATTCTTTATTTTAATATTTGTTTTTATTTTTAACATCAATTCTTACTAAACCCTAAATTCAAATTTTCTAAATTATTGAACATTTTATTTATTTTGAATAATCTTTATTTGATGAAAATATATAATTAAAGCCATGGAGAAAGTTTTCACAATATGATGAATCTAATTTTGAAAAAGAAAATGTAAGTTTCAAATTTGAAATTGGAGAAAGGGGTATAAACAAAAAATCTATTAAGATTAGTAAAAGTAGTGTGTGAACAAAAACCCTAATTAAGTTTGAAATGGAGGGAAAAAAGGTGCAAATAAAAACACTAATTGGACCTAATTAAGCACAGCTATTTTTGGTATTAATAGGGTTTAAAGAGAATTTTGAAAATATAAGTGTATTTAGGGGTGGGAGATAGTGATCAATTTGATGAGGCTAATTTTTAAAAAAAAAAAAAAAATTAGATTGGGCTTTAAATAATTTTCTAAATATTGGGCTTCATCTTCACTTGACCTGTCAAAGAGTGCTGTATTTAAGCCCATTAATTCTCTTTGTAAGCCATATTTTAAATAAAATTTATCTAAAACATTAAATTTTCTATAATATATTCTCAAATAGCCCTTATACTGATTCTTACTGAGGTGGACAAATAGGCCGGGTTAGGCGGGTCAACCCTAACCCGGCCAATAATAAAGAGGGTTTAAACCGGCCGCCTTGAAGCGGGCCGGGTTGAACGCAACCCGCCAGCAACCCGCGAGCCGTCGGGTTGCCATTTTGTTCTCTCTGCAGGAGGCCCGCCAACCCGGCGGGTTGCATGCGGGTTGGTGGTGCCAACGGCCAACGTTGGGTTGACCCACGGGTTGGCCGAAAAATAATTAAAAAAAAAAGTAAAATTAATTTATTTTTAAAATACCCTTTTACCTTGAAATATAGCCGTTGGAGAGGTCTTTTTTGTCATTTTCTTTCCCCATTTTTTTTCTATAAATTGGCCCTAACTCTCAATTTTTCTACAACTCAAATTTCTCATTCTCTCATATTCTCTAATCTCTATTCTCTCAATTATTCATTTTTCTCTTAATCTTTTTGTTATCAATTTGCTCATTTTAATTTTATTAGTTTTTGCAATTTTCAATTCATATTCCAATTTTCCAAATTCCAATTTCCATATTCCAATTCTCTTCTTTAATTTATTTCTTCTACATCAAAATTTTTTTTTCAACTACAATGGAGAGATATTCTCTCCATCAATTTCAATGAGAAGAAAACTACTATCCTAGTCTTAGTCTGCTGATTTTACTATGAATGCAGGAGATTCAAATAATCCCGCTGTCCAATCCCAGTCTCAGAATCCGATACACCTCAAAATATGCCGTCGATCTAAAAAGGTCCTGTGGTTCTAGAAGTCGTCCTGTAATCGTCGTTCTGTCCAACTATCTCAAGTTGAGATGGGTCATCAACTGTCGTCGAAACCGAAGACAGGCACACATCAGATGTTGGGCACATTTCGATAAGTTTTACGAGACAGAAAATGGTGTTCAAGTCAAGAATGCAAGATACAATATTGTGGAAATGTTTATAAAGCTGATTCAGGTAATGGTACTAGTACTTTAAAAAGGCATGTAATAAACAATTAATCACATGAAAATAGAGAAAGCAACAAACTCATATAACTAATATGAGATAACTTGGTGTTATAATTCTTATGTATATAGGGAACAGTTAGCTTTATATTGCTGCAGCTGTCAACCTATTATATGACAGAAGATAAATATTTTGAAAGATTTGTTCAAAAATCATTTTTCCAGGATTTAAAAGTTATTCTAAAACAATGCAACTAGAAAGATTAATAAAATTGGTTAGAAAAATGAAATTAGAATTAAAAAATAAATTTCATACTTGTCATATTAGTGTGACTCTAACTGCCGATATTTGGAGTGGTAGAGCTAAACAATATTATATTTGTGTGACTAGTCATTATTTGATAATGAATTTAAATTAAATAAATCTTTATTAGGATTTGATTAATGTATGTGGATCATAGTGGTTTAGAAATCTATAATAAAATGTTGAAGTTTTAGAAGATTATGATATTATTGATCAAGTGATAAGTTTAACTTTAGATAATACAAGTTCAATAGTAAAGTATAGATTTTTTTCAAATTAATTATCTTTTATATAAAAATATGAAGTTTTTTTACCAACGTTGGGCATGTCATTTATTAATTTAATTGTGAAAAGTGGTATGAAAACAATTAAACATAATATTGATAGAATTAGGGAATCTTTAGCTTGGATTACTGGTAGTAAAAAAGAAATGCTGAATTCAAGAAGCTTGTACAAAATCAAATATGCTCCTAGAACTTTGGCATTAGATATGCTGTTAGATGGAATAGTACTTATTTAATGCTTAATTCATGTTTACTTATCCTAATATATTAGTTATTTTGTAGCAAATAATAGAGATCCTTATTATTGATAGAAAATGATTGGAAGAAAGCTAAAGTATTTCATTCTTTTCTCAAACGTTTTTACTAAACACTTTACAACTTTCTGGTGTGTATTATCTACTAGTCCATTGGTAATACATACAATTTATAAAAATTTCTGAGTTATTACAAAAAACAAAGAAATGAAATTTTTAATGCACCATAAAGGCAATGCAATTTTTTTTTGAAAATATGGGAACCCATTCTTTTTTATTGTTTAGGTGCTATATTTGATCCTAGAATTAAATAGCACGTTTAGAAAATGGTTTTTGACAATTTTAGTGAAAATTTACAAACCGAATCAATGTCAATCAAATAGGAGAGGTAAAAAATAGTGCTTGCGAAGTATATTCTAATATGAAAACAGGTATGGGAATCCGCAGTAGCAAAGAGGCGAAATATCCAGAGAAGCTGTATCAGAAGAAACAACAAATGAAGACTTATACTCTTGGAATGCACTGAATAGGGTGGAGAGGACCCGAATCCGAAGTATAGCCTCCTCTTCAGAAGCCCACCACCACCAACAACAACAACTAATATACTGTCCTCCATGGAGTCGCAGAGTAATGAACTTCAACAATATTTGGCAACCCTCGAAATGTTTCCAGCAGGTCACTTTGATATCTTAGGTATTGGAGAG